CGGTTTGGACAAAAGTTAAGCTGTCTTATAAGAAAGTGATTAGGTGCAGTTTCAGTTTTGGGGCAGTCTGGGAAAGGGATCCAGTATATGGAAGGTCAGCAGGTGGTGACAATGTTCTCAGAAACTGGCCATGGTTCAGTCCAAGGGTCAATTCCCATCTGGGATGAGAACGTCTACAGTCCAGGTCAAAGGTTCATCCGCGAATGGGTCAGAGATTGGGTTAACAATGACCACTACTCTCGTTTTAAGATCTCCAACCAAATACTACTCAATTTTGAGTTTTCATTTGCATTTCCTGTATAGCTGAGTTCCATTTGGACATTCTAGCTGAATGCCACTTTGGCAAGAGGGTAGTGGGGATTTGACCCAAGGCCTTCATGCTAAGCTACATCCTCAGTCCATTTTTATTTTCTTATTTTGAGACAGAGTCTCCCTAAGTCACAAAATCCCAGGCTGAGCTCCAACTTGTGACCCTCCTGCTTCAGCCTCCCAGAGTGCTGGGATTATATAGGCGCACACTTCCATACTCAGCTTGTCTTGGTCACAGTAATAAGGACATATTGTAGTCTACTTAGTAATATACACATTTCTTCCTAGCTCTCTCTTGGATCTACCAGTTTAATATAGTCTACGTTTATTAGCTAAGCCTTTCTCATTTTCATCCTGCAATTTACATGAGTACTTCCTTTTTTTAAATTCAAGTCTTTCTCTAATTCAGGGCAATTTTAGTTTACTATTTATTTGGTTATTCCCTCTATTCTCTCTGTTGACTCCTTCTGAACTTCCATTAGATAGGCATTTGCTCATTTAGGTCTGTCCTCCAAGTCTCCAAACTTTTCTGTCATAATTTTCCTAACTGCTTTTGGGTATCTAATCTGGAGAAAATGCGCCCAGGTCACTAATTTGTGCTACATATATTATCTTTCTGCTGTTTAACAATACTCCTGAGATTTTCTATAATAATTATTGTTAGCTCAAAATAACTGATCTGATCTGTCTTGATTCTTCTTAAGAGCTAATTGCTCTTGTTTAGTGGACGATACCTTCTTATGCTTTTAGAGACTAATAATGACACCTATGTTTATGTTCTTTCTGTTTTCTGTATTGACTGTTTCCTCAGGGGTTTTGTTCTTCTTACTGTACACTTGGTATCTTGATTTCATGCATTTTATTTTCCTTAATATGTGGTGACCCTTATTTGTATGTTCATGGATATAAATGAGGGTCTAACTGTGTAGTTCACAACCTCATTTATTCATTAGAATTAACTTGAGTGATTTAAAAAATCTTGATATACAGAATTTATCACAGATCAACTAAGTAAGAATATCTGGAGGCGGCACCCAAGCAGTAGAGTTTCTTTCTTTTTAGTCTTTTGAGGTATATTTTACACATAGTACAGTATAAAAATTGCAAAGGCAATAGGGTGAGGTAGCACACACCTGTGATCCCAGCTACTCAGTGGGCTGAGCATGAGCGGATAGCAAGCTCAAGGCCAGCCTGGACCATACAGTGATACCCCACCTCATATATAAATAAATACATACTCAGACAATGCACAGTGACCTACATAAAGAAAATAGGCCAAAGTTCAGAAACGTTTTTTCTGTGAAGGACCAACTCATTTTGGGTTTGCAGTCCAGGCAGTCCCAGGCAAAATTATTCAACTATGTTGGAGAGCTAAAGCATCCATGGGCTGTGCAAGACAGTCTGTGTTCCAGTAAAGTTTACAACAGGCAGTGTGTCCAATTTAGCTCATGAGCTGTGCTTCAGTGCCGCCTGTCACAGACCATTTCTGTGCCCCCTAGAGAAGCCTCCCTTGCCGTTTTCCAGTTAATACCCTCCCAAAGGTGGCCATTAGTTAGTGTCGGTATGTTAAATATATCCAAGTGATTGAAATGTGCAGCCAATGATTAGAATCACTGATCCTGACCAATCTATATTAATAGTTGTGTGCAGTGCCACAGCATAAAGAAAATTCCCCATTCCCTGCACTGACTCATTATAGTGGTGATGTCTCTTCTGGTAATTTCTCATAGCAAGCTCACAGCTGTAACAGAAAAAATGACACAATCAGTTGCTTTGAAAACAGACTATCAATAAAGCTGCTCCCCAACACTGTAATTACTCTATGACTCTCTATGATCCTTTTCCATTCTCAGCTATAGCTACCTCTAATCTGTAGGTCTTTCTGAGTTTGGAGGTCTTTTATTCCCCTATATGGAGCTTTAGTTAGCTCAATTCTGTTAGGGTCCACCATTTATTTTATCACAATTGAATTCTACCTTGCAAATTTGCTACATGCTCTATACTACGATGGAACTCCAAGGATTTCTAATGTTGCTATGGGATTATTTTTCTCAACATTCCTCTCACAGTTATTCAGTGGGATTTTGGGAGGGAAGAATGGTATACATGAAATATTAGTCAAACATCTTGAAAGTGAAGTCCTCTAAAGCAGCAGGAGTTGATGGATGTGTAAAGCTGGAGAGATTGTTTTCTCTGTTTAGATTCACTTTCAATAACTACAGCATTCTTTAAGAAGTCCAGAGGGGGCCGGGGGGATTCAGCTCTGTGGTTTCACCGCCTGCTGCACAAGCACAAGGACCTGAGTTTGATCCCCGGTACCAAAAAAAAAAAAAAAAGAAGTCGAGAGGAGATAGTTTTTGTCACCCTATAATTTAGGATGACAGGAAGGCAGTGGGAGGAGCCAGGCGTAGGAAGACATCAGTGAGTCAGAGTCTGATGGATTGTATTTCAGATTCTGACCTCTCTTCACCATCTTCCTTCAGCAAGGAGCACGGATCAATTTGTGCTATGCAAATAAAACAAAAATGAACCAGAGCTAGCACGTACAATAAGGAAAGTAATTAAATCACAAAATGTGAAGTCCTGAGGTAGAAGTGGCCTTTACTGTTGGCTGATCCAGTGACTTACTGATGTCATCAGGCACTCAAGATTTTTCTACTCTGTTGTCCACACACTTCATCCTGTAGGTGCCTCTTCCTGGGTTATAGGAGACCTTACACTACCAGATGGGCTGGTTTGCTATCTCAACACCTGCTTTTCTTCATTCAGAAGGAAGGGGCAGATCACTGGTGGAAGCTTTGTCAAAAGAACAAGTGAGAATTTTCTCAGAATCCCTTAGACAGTTTTTTACTTGTCATTCCCATTTCTGGACTGATTATGGAGGGAAAGGGGATAGATTATGTCAGACCAAGCAAATGTGTCCTAGGTATTAAAAAGGTGGGTTTTCACCCAAGGCACAGGATTCCTAATGTGGAAGGAATGGTCTCATGTACAAATCTAGGGTTCTTTTGGAAAGGAGGAAGAAACAGCAGTTTGTGTATTTTCAGTTGGGCAGGCATCTCCAGTGGTGGCAATTAGAACAATATAAAACAGAAGGGTCCTATAAATGAGCAGTGAAAAGCCTAGGAGAAAAGTGAATTAGTACTATTGCCTCACCTCTCCAGGTGTCTGTTTCTTCACATGAAAATGGAAGTGGTACCTACCTCATAGTGCATGTGAGGACTCGTGCATTTGTCAAATACATTTGAGTTTACCGTGCACCAGGAACTATTCTAGCAGGAACTACCATGGAGAATATGGCATATTAAGTCTCTGCCTTGAAAAGCTTGTTTTTTTGAGTGAGTGTGTGTGTGTGTCTGTGTGTGCGCACACACACACACATGAGCAAGGGAGATAAAGTGCAAGAATGATAATCACAAGAAAAAATTATTAAAAATATAATTGCGGGTAGTAAGTGCCACCAGCAAGGGAGAGTGGGGAGGAAGAGAGGGTGTTCCACAGAGCGAGCGTGCAGCTGGCAGTTTGAGGGTGACATCTGAGGGGAGACAGAGGCCAAGGAAGAAGGCACAGGAGGCTGAGTGTAGTGAGCAGGGGCCCAGCCCCTCCCAGGCTCTGCAGAGACCTTGGTGAGGACACAGACCTCACTGCGCTGCGAGGTGGCACTAATGGCCATTTTCCTCCTCTGCTCCCTCTCTCCTTCACAAGGGTGCAGGCCCTGTCTCCCTTCCCCTCCCCTTTCCTCCCCTCCCCTCTCCCCTCGCCCCTCTCTGATCCCAGGACTTCCCTGCCTGACCCCAGGACTCCCAGAAGCTTAGCAGCTGCTGTGGGCCAAGCAGAAGGGGCCTGGCCCTCAGGAGAAATCTAAGAGCCCCCGGGGATCGGCCAGTTGCACGGGGCCTTGGCTGGCTCCGCTGCTGCCCGGGTGGGGGCACCTTGGCTGGAGTCTCTGCCAAGGCCTCCCATCAAGGGTGGAGCTGTTACTTCCAGCTCCACCCCAGACTCAGGCCCCTGTGCTCCAGAGCTCCCTAAGGGGAGGGAGGTGCTAGCCATGGGGCCCTGGCATCTCAGCTCTGAGCTCCTGCTGTCATCTTTATTGTGGCCTTGATTTCCTTGGCCCCAGGGACTGGACACAACTGAGCCTTTCCCATCAGGCACTGGGCTGCCTCCCTGGCCTGGCCCAATGAGGATTTGGCTTGAGCCTTGCTCTGTCCTTTGCTTCTCCACCTGTAGCCCAGGGGCCAGCACCAGTGGTGTCACCAGAGAGCATGTGAAGTGTGTAATCTTAGGCTGGCCTTAGACCCCCTGAGCCCGAATCTGCATTTTAGCAAGATCCCGGGGGAGTCACAGGCACTTTGCAATGTGAGATGCACTGACTTCTGACACTTGCTTTCAGTCTCTGTGTAGGCAAAGTGGGAAGCGAGGCTTCACAGTTATGACTCATTTTTTGTTCTGCCCAATTCTCATGCCCACCTGTAATGTTGTATTTGTTATCTTTGCATTCTACAATTACTGCAGCACACAAAAATTATATAGCCTTATATTATCATTTCCGCCCACAAATGGAATTGCTTTTGTTTGTGTTGTGTTTTCAGTCCATAGCAATAACATTTACTTGTGATAATTCTGTTCCAATTATGCATGTTTATAATCCTTACAAAAGTGATGTTAGAATAATAAACAGACAGCTGCCCTTCTGTGATATGTAGTCTTTATGTCTCAGATCTGCAGTACTGAAGGCCTGTATGGCAGAGCTTTGGAACAGGTCAAGTTCCAAGTACTCAGAGCAGGAAGCTCCACCCTCTTGGAGAATGAAACAGCTCCGTCTTCAAAGGCTTTTCTAACGGTACCCTGGGAGCGCTGACCAGACCCAGTGACATGCGGAGGTGGGAATCAGGGTTTTCCAAGATGGTATAGTGAGTGGCTCTGTCTCAGTTACTTTTCTCATTGCTGAGACAAAATGTCCAACATCTACAAATTAAAGGAGGAAAGGTTTAATTGGCTCACAGTTTGTGGAGGTTTCAGTCCATAATCGGCTGGCTCCAAGGCAGGGCTGCACAGCAGAGGGGCAACAATTCATGGTGGTCAGATGGTAGTCAAGCAGCAAGGGATCTTAACAGTGTCTTTCTGCCCCTTTTGTCTTATCCAAGCTGCTTAGGATGGGTAGCACTCATACTTTTAATTCTAGTGCCCTTGAGTCTAGCACTGCACCATGTATCAATCCCAGCATCACACACTCTAGATCCAGCCACCTCTGAAAAATCCCCACCCATGACAGCATGAGGCTCTGGGAGACATCTAGACATAAGAATCTCCATCTTTTCAAAGACTTAAGCTGATCAGGGCTCCAAATGACAGACTTTTGAGCAAGGTCTTGCAATTGGGTTCAGAACAGTTACCAATTCCAAAGCAAATATGAGAAATCTCTGATAACTTCTAGGATGTCTGAAAATTTCTGAAAGATGTTCTCTCCATGCTATTGAAAGATACTCTCTTACTGAGCCCCATATTTTTCTAGGTGGACTCATGGAATTTCTTAGATTTATTATTAGTTCATTCAGTCATTCATCCATTCATTGATTATCTTATTCTCTATCAGGCCCAGGACTAAGAACTAAGTATGCATCAATGGTTTGAATTATTTGGTAATATTATCCTCACCTCAGGACAGGTGCCTTTAATCTCCTTTTACTGAAAATCCTAGCTCTAGACTTGCAGTTATCCTGTCTTCTCCAAGCTCTGCCATCCCTCTAGGTAGCTACAATATCCATGTGGATGCTCCATCCAAAACTCTTGACCTCCACGCTACCAATGGCTTTTTCCTTACTTGACTTCAGTTGTCCACTTCACTGATTATACTTTAAATCAGTCCACTTTTCAATCTATAAATCCATGCATTGAATTCTCCAACCATACCTGCTACTGTTAAGTGTTCCTTATCGATTCCTAAAATACTCGTTTTCTAAACTCTTTAAGAACTTCCATTCTATTTCTTACTTTCTTGTTAATACTCTGAATTCCTTTTCCCTATTGTGTTCCTGTCCCATTTATCCAACCAGCCATTCTTCCATTGACCTCATTTACGTAGTCTGATGAACAGGAGCTGCTAGAGAAAATCCCAACCTTAGGCAGACTGGCTTCAATGGGCTCTTTGACTGCCTAGTCTCTAACTGACTGTGTAAGACCTTTTCTCCCCTCCTCAAACCACTTTTGCTTCACTCTCTGCATCTATGTACGTACCTACATTTTTCTTTTTTTTTTTTTTTTGGTACCGGGGATTGAACTCAGGATCTTGCTCTTGTGAGGCAGGCACCGGAACCACTGAGCTAAATCCCCGGCCCATGTACCTACATTTTTCAAGTAAAGTAGAATTTGCCAGGCAAGATGCCATCCACGCCACCTATACTTTACCTACATTTTCATTAAAAGGGACATTTCTAAGATTATTAAATATTTCTTCATGCTAAATTAAATTATAATCCATATATTAATAACTTCCAAATAATCTCTGGTTCAGATCTTTCTTTTTACCTCATATCCTCAATAACCACCTTCCTCCTAAATATTTCTTGCTGAATTTCTCCAAGCTAAATTAATGAGATCCTGTACTCTCAACACCAAGCATAATTAACAAATGGCACGGCCACAGCCATCCATTCAAACTGCCAAAGTAGAAATGCGAATATCGAGTTTTACATCTCCCTCTTCCATTGTCTCGTGTTTAGAGACATGCCAGGTCCTATTCATTTTATTTCTTACAATTTTCTCCCTCTTCTCCTCGGCTATGATGTTAGAGGGCCAGGCTTCTCATTTTCGCTACTATTATCTCAATTACTTTAATAGCCTCCTGGCTACCAGTTATACTCTCTGCCATTCCATTTTGCCAGTAGCAAATCTCTCCTGATCATGTTATTCTTCTATTTAATGTGCCTCAATAGTCCTCATCTGGCCTCTATGGCTCTGCGTGACCACTTTCTACTTGCTGTTGCACCCAAATCTCTGTCCTGTGTCCCTATACGCTGTTCGCCCCTCTCCCCTAAGGACTGTCCTTTGGAGCCACACTTGACTCTGCACAATTCCTCAAGTGCTTAGCTTACTCCCCTGCATTTCATGTTACTCACATGGAGAATATCTTGCCCTGATAATCTCCGGAGTGCGGCACAGAGGCCCAAGGGACAAGGACCGGTTTGAGAAATTCAGTGGTAGTTTTATCTTGAGCTTTCAGCTTTGCAAATAGAAGAAACGGGCTGTATCTAGATCGCCCTGAAAGGGGAGAGAGAAGAAAGGGTCATCTTCCTTGATCTTTATCTTCACTGCTGCCAGCCCCCCAAACTTCCTCCTTCCTTTTCATTTTTAGCATCACTTCGATGATTGACAACTAAGTGAAATCCATTGAAAGATGGCTTCAGTGAGCAACCCGGGAAGGAGCAGCAAATCCCTGACATGCCAGTAACTGGGGCATTGCCACAGAATGAAGATATTTCCACACAGCTCCCAGGGGAGGCTGCGTCTCTTCTTTCTTGTGTTCAGATTACGTCCTTCATTCTTGCTCTGAGTAGAAGCACTCTTCCTAGGTTGAGCCCACAGGGAAAAGGGGAACCTTGTACTCCCCTGAAACACGAAATGCACCGAGCGAAGGGGTAGGGAAATGACAGTGAATGGCTGAGGACTGGGTGATTTTTTTCCTGTCTTCATTTCATGACTGAGGATCAAGAATCATTACTGTAGTAGACTTGGTCTGATTTGCAGATTTAATCACCTTCTAATAGATCATTTTTAAATGCATTATGCATAAAAATTGTGTTTATGTGTTTACATCAGAGGAAACTTCTACTACGCCAAAATGTTGTTCCATTGTGAATGATGGTAACACATTAAAGGAGCATCAGAAAATGAAGCGCTCTCTAGTTTCAGTGAAGCATTAGCTCTGTGCTCCCTGATGTGGAGCGATGTTTACTTTCCCGCTTGATAGAATATGATGGCCGGCAAACCGAGGAAAGATGACTGAGATATTATTCCTTGGGTGTATTTCTGCTTGGTCCCTGGGTCCACTGTAAAGCAGGGATCTGAGGTCCTAAGTGATTAATTAAGGAATGAGTAATCCTGACAAGCAGGCAGAGCTCAGGCCTTCCTCAGAGGCCCACACCACCAGGACCTTCGTGCACCCGACCTTGCTCCTAAGACTTGCTCCCTCAGTCCCTGGGCTTCCTCTCCCCCACTGCTCCCTAGAGACATCTTCAAGGGAGTGTCACTTTGTCGTCAATCCCTCAGGGAGTTGAGTGAGAAAAGGAAAAGGTCGGTCATGAAGGAGGCTTGGAAGTCTAGCAAAAACAGAGCAAGAGATCAAAAAGCATGGTCCTTGCCTCCCTTCCTTGGTCCCTCTATCTCCCTCAGAGTCCTCTGTACCTTAGCTTCTAGCCTCTGTATGTCCCCCTATCCCACTCCTCCTGAGGAGCAGAGAGACACTGACCAGTATGCCCTGCCCTTGCACGAACCTGGTAAGTGCAGAAATAAGGACCCTTCCCTTCGAGGAGCTCATGGCCTTGTAGGAGACAGCACTTGAAATGCACAGCCATCCTAGCTCCATGGGTTGGGAAGCTGGGACAGGGGCACAGCGCATCCAGTGGTCAAGCGGATCCACACACGTTCTGATTCTCATTCTACAGCTAGTTTAGGCAGCATTGCCTTCCAGGTCCACAGCTACTTCTATGGCTCTGACTTCTTTTCTAGGTGCTTTGGCCCCTTGTCCTTTGGCCCTGACATTTATAAAGACCCCAACTTGTGTAGTACCTCTTTGCCTTCAGGTGGCCTTCCCAGTCAATCTACTCCTTCCCCGTTGTCTTAAAGGTGCTCTCTTTTCACCCATAGGTACAACACCATTGCTAGAAAAATTGTTGAACTCTGATAGGGTTTCTCCAAAGACACAAAACTAAGGATTGAGTACCTGTGCTGTCGGTGCCATTCTTGTTGCATATTAGGGGAAACCTCCCTCTGTGTCAATACTGCTCGGCCTATCTCTTTGTTCTCTGCTGTAGTCCTAGCACTTTGCACAGGACTGAATGTGTGAAAGATAGTTATGGATGAACTTTCTGCCCCTTCAAGCCACTATCTAACCAAATCTGAACAGACACCCTGTGTAATTGTTTAGATGGAGAATGTCCCCCAAAGGCCTCATGCACTCATAGGCAGAGCTTTGGGAGGGATATTGAATCACCGGGGAACATAGGTGACTTGCTGTTAGGAGAGGCAGTCTGATCAGAAGGGGAGGGTCGCTGGGCTGTGACCCAGAAGAGCGTCTCTCACTCGTTCTCTCTCTTTCTTTGCTGTCTCTACTTCCTGGCTGCCATGCTGTTAGAAGCTTTCCTTTGCTGCAGACCCTTCCACCATGCCCTTCAGGCCTTGCAGCCAGGTGACTATGGACTGATACAAGAGCCAAAATAAGCCTCTCCTCCTTTAATTTATGGGTATTAAATGTTTTGTCCCAGCAATGAGAAAGTGACTAAGACATCTTGAATTCTGGGAGTTTTAGGTATTTGCCCAAATTAATAAGCCAGCATGCAATTCACATTTGATTAGCAGGTCCCTGTTATTTTCCAATGATTAAAACCCTGAGAAAGAATAAAGGTAACATGAGGTGTTATAGGGTAGCTTTCCTGTTGCTACCCTAACTGCCTACTGCAAACTTAGTTACTTAAAACAACATAAATGTATTATCATACAGTTCTGGGGGTCAGAAATCTAAAATGAATCTCATTGAGCCCAGTGGAAGAGTGCTTTCTTGCTTTTTTCAGCTTCTGGTATCTACCTGCATTCCATGGCTCTTGAACTCTTTACTTCCTCTTCAAAGCCAACAGTGTCAGGGTGAGGCCTCAGCCTGCATTCACTCGAGTTTGCCTTTCTGCCTCCCACTTCCACCTGTAACAGCCCTTGTGGGTGAGCCCACCCAGATAATTCAGGATAATTTCCCCTTTTGAAGGTTAGGTGAATTAGCAACTTCAACGCACTTATACCATATAAAATAACATGTTCACAGTTTCTAAGGATTAAAATGTAGATAGATGTAGGGTGCCATATTCTGTTTACCATAAGAAGGACTCAGCCATAAAAAATGAGAAATTAGAGACATTTATAGCTAAGTGGATGCACATTGAGGCATACTCTTAAGTGAAATAAATAGGACACACGTGTAAATACCAAATAGTTTCTCTGGTGTGAGAAACTGAAAGTGTAAATAAGGACTAAAAGGTATAATAGGTAATGTGAAATAAGAAGAAAAGGGGCAAAGGGGAAGGAAGTGGGAAGGCTAGGGGAAAGGATAGAAGGGAATGGGGTTAATATGAGAAAATGGAAAAATAGGAACAAAATCTTTGTAAATAGGGAGGGATGGAGGGGTTGAAGGGAGGGCTGGGCAAGGGTGAAAAATAAGAACCAAGAGAGACTATGGAAAGGTGCAAATTTCCAATGATGAATGTCATTATATTGTATACCCAAAATGTACCAATGATTAGAATGAATAATCGATAATGTAAAATAGGAAGAAAAGGTCCAAAGGGGTAGGAGTAGTGGGAGGGGCAGGGGAAAGGAAAGAAGGGAAAGGAAAAATGATGAGAAATGGAAAAAATGGAAATAAAGTCTTTGTAAATAGGGAAGGTGGAGGGGCTGAAGGGAGGGCTAGGAATGGGGAAAAAATAAGAACCAAGATGTATTATGTAAAGGTACCATTCCCAATGAGAAATGGAATTGTGTTGTATACCTACAATGTACCAATAAAAGAATTTAACAAAAAAAAAAAAAAAGAAGGATTCTGGGACCCAAACTTACAACACATTACTGATTGACAACGATCTTTCTAGCCTGCCCTCTGAGCATTTCTGTGTCCCTCCCATTTCAGGGGTTTTATTTTCCCTCTCTCCTCCCCTCCATTTGTCAGAGGCAGGAGATTGGGGTGTGGCAAATTGGCCAAGCAAGTGGACATGACATATCAATAAGAGAGATGCAGGAAATGCACAGAAAAATACTTCTCAAAGCCCTGCATCTGGGACCAATCAAGAATGCTGTGTTCAGTTCTTCCCGTGAGGACTTAAGCAGGTTTTCGATAGGACAGCCTAGACTTGACACCAGCCTGAGGAGTGGAGGATGCCAAAGATGGCTGCCATTCAGCTCTTGGACTGTGCTGTCTTTGTAACACTGCTCCACCCCGGCCTGCAGGGTGTACTTCTTTCCTATTTTTAATCGGCCCAACTTGCTCTGCAGTATGTTTCTTTTTCTACCTTTAATAAATGTAAAACCTCTCTATCTTTTGCACTTGTTTTGTCCAGTTATTTGTTTAGGACAAGAAGAACCTATAAAATGTCTCTAGAAGGAGCCTCCAGCAGCCCTACCCCAGTAACACTTCTATCCTTCTCTCTTCTGTCATTCTCTCACTCCTTTCTCCCCTTCCTCTTTTATTCAATTAGTTCCTTCTACTCAGCCTATAAACCTATTTAACTTTCTCCCAAGTAAAACTTAACCTATCATGATCTTTCTCCACCTCACATTGAGTTACAACTGTATCTTTGCTACAACTGAGTTGTTTTGCTTTTCTTTTCAAGAACATATCTTGAAGGAGTCCATCATATTCACTCTTTCCATTCTTTTCCTTATCAATCCATTATAATTTGGCTTCATCTCCTGTAACCCCACATAGTGCTCTTGAAAACTTCACTAAGGACTTTTGTCCACACATTCAGAGGAGACTGCTCAAAGGAATCCTTGTCTTTCCTGAAGTAAGCAACTGCTGTGCCAAACATGTTCCCCTTCTATCCTTGCAGAATACTCACTTCCCTCTCTCAGTGTCCATCAGTGAAACCACCTCCTCCTAGTCCTCCTTAGAGACTGCTTGTCCCAGGCTCACCCCTTAAGAGCTAGTTTTTCTTAAGGCTCAGCCTGGGCCACATTCTCTTCTCATTCTGCAATTTCTTCCACAGCTGAATGTGTGAGGTAGCGGGAGGTGACCTCAGAGGATCCTAAAGCTTTGGTTACCTACTAAACTGATAAAGCTTTGATCTCTGATTACCTTCCAGAGTTCAGACCTGGATCCTGAATGCCAGACCATCATAGGCACTCCTCTCCAGCATACCTCCATCAAACTCACCCTGCAGATGCCTCTGTACTCATGTGTCCAGTGCTGAGTTCATCGTCTTCCTCTCAAACTTGATACTGCTCTGTCTGTACTATGTTGTCAGGCCCAATAATTGATTGTTTCTATATCTATTAATTCAGTTCCTAAATCTCTCTTAGGCCAGCCTCTCCTATCATGTCACAAGCTGCTGGTTACATTGGGCTCAAGGGGCCCATCTCTCTCTTCTACAAGTTTCTCATTGAAACAGAGTCTTCCTGTCTAATATATGACTCAGACCCAATCATTCCCTCACCAGTCCACTACCATCATCATTCCTATACCCTCCTGCTTGACATCCAGTGTTTTGAGGATAAGGTCTAAAAGCCTGCCTTTCCACAGCCATTTAGCTATGACTTGTCTCTGTCTCCTTCTACAGCCAATACCTCTTTTCCATTTCCCACTGTCTTTAGCTCTAATCTTCACATATAATATTCCTCTGTTTGATTGCTCTTATCTCTCTCCCTCCCTCCCTGTCCCTCTCCCTCTTCCTCTCCTTCTCCCTTTCCCTCTCCCTCTCTCTCTGTCTCTCTGCCTTTGTACTGTATTCTCATCTCATTTTGGGCAAGAAGTTGCCCATGTTTTAAGGAAGCCATCCTTGAGCTTCTCAGGCTTGCCAAGGGACTCCCTTTCATGTTCTTTTTGCTCCCAACATTAGTGTCTCTGTGTCTTTTGCCCTGTCTCTTTGCCACTAGATTCTTCCCTCTTTAGAGGATATCCTATGTCTGTCTTCACTGCAGAACTTCCAGCACTTGGGACAGGGCTAGCACTAATGCCAAGGAGACTTTCATTAAATTCTGCAGAGTGAATGAAACCCCTTTCATTTATTACCAAAGCACAACAGAGCCTGGATGGCCTTTGGCAAGCAAATACTCAGCTACACCATTTCTAACCTACTCTGTGATCCCAACAACATTTGAGTGCCAAGAGACACTCACTCAAACACATATTCATATACAGGCACTGGAACAGCAGTGACTTCTTCTCCTCTGAACTAGTCAGTCTGGTTCAATTCACCTCCCAAGGTTGGGACAAGAGGAACCAGGCTTTCCTTAATATAAGTGCTAGATCATTGAGATGGAACTTTGCCCAATCTGTGAGGCTTTGAACGGATTATATGAGCCCCCTAAGCTTCAGTTTCATAATCTGCTAAATAATGGTAATAATGACATCCTCTTCAAAGAGTTACTGTCAGTACTTAACATAGTGACTGGTTCCTGGGAAGCACTCAGTGTGAGTCTTGTTATTTATTATCAGTATGCCTTACAGCCCAGTCCTTTCCTTCATTTGGCTCCCCGCTCTTCCATTACTCTTTTGTCCTGTCCTGAATTGTTCTGGGTTAGGTTTTAGGAAAAATACCTTCATCGTGTTCATTCAACAGTCATTTTCAGACCATTTTTACTATGTTCTAGGCACTGTCCTGGTGTCTGTGAGTGTAGAGAGATAAAGACAGAGGTGAAAAGACAGACACTCAAACAGCTACTTACAGGTCAGGTGCTTAAATATTGTCCGCTCCATTACAACACCAGTACTCTTCTCTCTGAGAGCAGACTTTTTCCCTAGGAAGATACCGTGTTCCCAGAGGACAAGCAAGATGAATTCTTTGTTAGAAAGTAAAATAACACCACAGATTACCAACCCATATTGGGAAACACATAATTGTGTTGAGAATTCTTGTACCTTACACTTTGTTCTGATCTGTTTGCAGCTCAGGGTAAACACAAGCATGACAGTATTTACCCTGCTAAACCCTGGGGCTCTAGGAATTTCAGGCACATTGGCTTCCGTTGCCCAATGCCTACTTTGTTGCTGTTTGCACACATAGTGTACACTGCACATTATTTCCTTCATGACTTCAGCTGTAATAAGTTTGCTAGAATCCTGGAATATCAAGCCCAGAAGAGTCCCGAGAAATCACATAGCTCAAGATCTCATTACACGGATGAACACTGGAGACCTAGAGATGTGGAGGGTCTATTGCAAGTCAAAAACTGTGTTGGGATGATGTTTATTTCTGGCCTGTGAGCAGCAATTAAGGAGTCCACTCATCTTCTATGTGGAGTGACTCATTCAATCTTTGTCATCCATAGAAACATTTTCTTACAGTGATGTTACATGAAGACTAAGTGTCCAAAGTCACATAGCTGGTACAATGATATAACATAGATTGGAATTTAGTATTCTTGCTTCCCTGTGTGAAGGCAAGTGTAAATTTTTACTATTCATACTTGCTGCAACCACTGGTAGCTTTCCCCCAAGTCCATGTTAGAATTTGATTCTTCTCATGGGTTTGGACAGAGGCCAGTCCTAGTTAAAGCCTCTTTGAGACCACATATTAACACTTAGAAGAGGAAATGGTTATCTGATCGAGGCGCAGACTCTTCTCTACCTGTCACTGTGAGCTCTTCAAGGGAATTGTAGTAGGACCATAACCCAAGGTCAAAGTGCTTAGAACAGTTCCCAGGTGAGGCTTGACCAGAGTACCAGCCTTGGGCACCATCCCCCACTTATCTGAACCTGGAGAAGGCCTACTAGTGCCATAGAAGCCTGGAGAAGTTAGCTGTTGCTTATCACAGGACACCAGCTCAGTATAGATGTGGTTTGAAGAGATTGGACAATTTTTGGGTCAGTATGAGACGTTTCTGACATCAGTATAAAGGGATTGTGGCAACTGAAACCTTGGATTGCACTGGCTGGTACTGTTTCTACCGGGAGTTCACTAACTCTACTTTGACAATCAGCATTTGTTAAACTTCCCCAGATCTCCTCTCACCAAGAGGCAAGAAGGAGACTGGTATGACTCTAGGCTAAATTCATATTTCAGGATGAGGCACAAGCTCCAATTGTGTGCAGATCCTGGAGCTGTTGCCCAATATGATACCTGCAGGATTCATTTGTTACAATGCAGATTTCTAAATTCCAGCCTGGTGTAGCTTTCAGAGTCTTCCTGAAACTGTGATGAAACTGAGCAGCCTGCACTGGGATTTAACAGCCTTGTTGGTATCTTTCATCCACTTTTGTTCATTTCATTTGACCTTTCAGTAGCTTATGAAAAGGACGTGTGGGCATTGGAATAGCAGAGAGACAAGTTATTTTTAGGCAATAAGGCTGGAGAGAGGCTTCAAGGATGAGAAACTCTATCACCCGAGGTCTGAAGGAAGTTGATTTGGATTTGTTGGAGACACCAGTCTCAGGGACCAGCAACTAGCTTTCCCCAAGCCAGCTCCACGTGTGGCGCCATGATCTTTCCGAGGCTAAATAAGCCAACCTTCTCAGACCCAATCGGCGAGACAATGTCATGCAGCCAGGTTCTCAGGTAGATGAGACATTGCATTTTTCACATCATCTTTCAGAGCCACTATACCCTAATGCTAGAATGCCTGGACAGTTGGGACAAATGAAAGTGGCCTTATACTTCATTATGGTCCCTAACACACCTGGGCCTTTGCCATACAGTCTTTAATGTCCTTCTCTTCTTTGCCTGACAAACTCTGAACCATCCTTTAAAACCCTACCCAGAAGGTATTTTTTTCCAATAAGAATTTTCTGAGTTTGGACTGTGCCTTTGGCCTTACACTGTGTTGTTCAAGGACAGCTCTCCCTCACAGCATTTACAATGCAACCTGGTGAACACTGGGTTGGTGAAAGCAACACAGAGTGCAGTGGAAGCACACAGCAGGGCAAAGTATCTGGGCTGGAAGGACAAGGCCGTGGAGCTATGACCTTTCAGGTGAGAACTGAGGGGCAGCAGGAGTTCACCAGGTGAAAACAGGGAGGGAAGGACCGTGATAGACCAAGGAACCATCCTGGATAAAGTCTATGGGACACTTGATGTGAGGTCGATATGACTGAAACATTGTGTGACAGAAGCAGCCATTGTGGCAACAGGAGGCCAAGCAGGAAGCAAGACCACATTACACAGGACTATTAAGGCCAGGGTTACATTTTGGATTTTAGTCCTTGTGCAGCAGGATGCCATTAAAAGGTATTAAACAGGCTCATGACATGATCTGGTTTGTAGTTGAAGAGAATGGGTCTGTAGAAAGGTAAGTGACACACTGTGATGGAAGACTGGATTGGGATGTTAGTAGTAGATATGGGAAGGAGTGAGTAAAATATAGTATTTAAGCTGGAAGCTGAGTTTACAAGATGCGCTCGTTGCTGAGGTGAGAGAAGGGTGCCCACAATATCTCCTAGATTTTTGCCCCAAGCATCTGGGTGAGTGATGTTCCTATTGACTGATAAGGGAGTAATCAAGGGAAGAATTGTAGGAGTTGAGGAATCAAGAGGCTTGCTTTGAACCTGTCAAAAAAATTGCTTAGGAAGAACTAGACTAAAGATGTTAATTTGGCAGTCAAGAGCATAAAGGAGGTGTGGTGGTTTTCCTGTGCACCTGAAATGTCTTTAGGATGCTGTGTCCCCTCCCCTTGACTCTGCACTGGCCTTAGATATGCTGCATGACTTCCCAGGCTAAGATACTGAGAGCCATGCTCCTTCTACCTGTTTCTCTTGGAAGACTTGTTCTCCAGAGGGTCCCTTCACAGAGAATCCCCTTTCAGAACCAGATACCATGTTGTGAGAAGCCTCAAGGGAAGGCCACGTCGATATGCTCGAGTCAACAGCCCCCATGAACCTGTCCTTCAGCCCTCATAGTCCATCTGCCAGACCTGGGCCAGAAGGCCCCCACCTCTGAGTTTGAGATAAAACTTTTGCCCTTACAATCACGACTGGAGCCAAGCAGCTAATACACCTTCAGCTTGCTAGAGAAACCCCTGCCTTGTGGAGCGCGGAAGTGGACCCTCCACCCTCAGCTGTGGCTGTCAACGAAATCGCACTCCACTTATCTGAGCCATCTGATCTGTAGTGGCAAGCATCAGGAAGCAGAGATAAGCTCTCCCTGATACGCCCTGTACCCTTTCTTGACCTTTGACCTATGAGGCAATCTAAGAAGGGATTGTTTTACCTTGGGAAATTTTCTACATAATGAGTAATAACTGGAATATGTGGTAACCGAGGCCATCGGGGGAGATGAGATCACTGAAGGAAAGTGTGAAGAGAGAAATGAAAATGAGGAAAACGCTATAGGGAACCTCAGACTTCAAGGGAGGGAAGAGGAGAAGTTGAATAGAAAAAAAAAACAAAACATGAAAAACAGAAATCTGCCAGAGGACAAAAAGCAGGCCTTCCAGGAGACTGAGGTATCATGGAAACCAAAGACTATGTTTCAGGGATAAAGTACTTGTCAACAGTGTCAAATGCTGCTGACAGGTCAAGTAAGATAACTGAAAAACGCCTTTAGGTTTTAGTAACAAGGGCAGTGGTGACTCAGCAAGAGCAGCTTCACCTGAGAGCAGACAACAACATTAAAATCCTTGGAGAAGAGAGGAGCCCAGAGGAGGGATGAAGGAGGAGCTGGCTTTAGACTGAGACTGAAGGCAGGTAGGCTACTTTTACCCCGTGTCACAAGCAAGGAAGAAGTGGCAAGTGCAGACCCCAAGCGCTGTGTACATCTTGTCATAAGGAGTCAAGGGAGTTCCCTTCTGAGGACCGCCCCCCAGCTGAAACGCCAAAGGGAAAAGTAAAAGGGGCGGTGTGTTTTGTTTCCACTGTGCTCTCAGCTTACCTGGGGACCTCTTGTCTGGCATCAGCACCCCCTTAATTTCTTGAACAAAAGATTCAGCCATTCCCATGCTTGGACTGCAGCTGGGACACAGATAGTCCCTCATTGCATCACGCATTGGAGACACTGCCACATGGAGCTCAGGGCAAGGACATGAGGGTGGGGGTGTGACAGAGGAGCTGGAGGGGAGAGCACTACTAGATCTGTGAGGGCAACGCTCATATTCCTACCTTTAGCCTCCTCCTAGCTGTCATGACTTGCTGTTGAATCAAAAGTTTTTGAATCTGTCAACCCATCTGAATTGTGCCATAGGGAACCGGAGGAGGGGGATTGTGCCAGGACGAGCTGAGGATGGGGACCAGGATGTGGTGACACTTGCGGGTAGAGTATGCCAACAGAGACGCTGCTGCAAAAGATGCTCTGGTCTTGGCTTTGATCATGGTCTGATGTCAAGAATTGGGAAACTAAGTCAGCTCAGCGAAGGGACTTGCCCAACCTTACACAACAGCACTGGGACGGAGCCCTGGCAGAAACTCAGGTGGAACCTTCTCAGTGCTTTTCCCACGATATCAGGTTATGGGGACTGAGATGTAAAGGAGCAGAACAGGTCTAGGTTGTCCCCACCCTTTGCAGCAACATGGATGGACCTGGAGTACATCATGCTAAGTAAAAGAAGCCAGGCACAGAAAGCCAAGCACTGCATGACCTCACTCATATGTGGGATCTAAAAACTAAGCCCAAACAAATGGACTAACTTCCAAAACTCAAATACATAGACGGGACTTTAGTAATTACTTATACTGAAGAGTTTCTCTGGTGTGAGAAAGTGAAAGTGTAAATAAGGACTAAATGTATAACAGGTCATGTGAAATAGGAAGAAAAGGGGCAAAGGGGAAGGAAGTGGGAGGGCTAGGGGAAAGGATAG